ACGGTCTTTTTCTCTTTCCTCCTTTGGCAGCCCTTTCTTTAAAATATCTTCCAAGCGGACCGCGACACTTCTTGGAATGGCTGGTGCCAGTACCCTTTCTGCCGCCACTCGGTTTCCAATGGCCTCCAGAAGTTCCACTTCCAAATCTTCTATAAGCGCCTCATCACTAGATTTAACTGTATCCACGCTCTGGACGCTTGAGGGTATATCCTCATTTGCTTTTGCACTTGTTCCTCCGTAGCCATTTCTGCTTGGTCTGTCACCGTATGGCCCGTTTGACTTGATGGCCCAGAATTCGACGAAGGAATCGGTGGCCTCATCTCCGACGCGACTTCCTTTGCTATAAACTCGCAGTTCCCTTCCGGGGTAGGTGATCGACTATGATAGTCATCTGAGCCCAGCAACGAACCCGATGAGTCATCCAACGGGTTCCGAGCTTGACAATCCGACTCTGTATCACTAAAGCGTGCCTGGTCTTTTTTGCCCAAGCTCTTTACCTTTGCGTCATGGTTCCCTAATAACCACAGCAAAATCAGGAAAAAAAAAATTTCCGTCTTTGTATGGTGCACTGCCCGGGAAACGAACCCGGGTCGCAAGAATGGGAATCTTGCATGATGCCACTACACCAGCAGTGCTGCATACATGTACACGCCCGTACGCATATATACACGCGCACGCATGCATATATATACAAATCCCGTACATACGTATAATACGTACATACACATACATATATATATATATGTCTATACACATACACATATACATACACACCATATACACTCCTTTGAATGCCCATGCGGACTCAAAAGGATATAAATATCTCCTTTAAAAAGGGGAATAATAATTTGACTTCTCTTTTCGTTCTCGTCTGAGACAAAGCTCGCCAACAGGTTAGAGCCTGTGGCTCGTCTATGGGTTAGAGCCCAAGACGTGACGATCGTGTCCGCCCTTACGCATAAAATGCGTCATTGTCTCTTGTCTGAGACAATGCTCGCCAACAGGTTAGAGCCTGTGGCCCGTCTCTAGGTAAGCGCCTAAGACGTGGCGGTCGCGTGTTTGCATTCACGCATAGATTGCGTTACTTCTTTCTCTACTAAGAGAAAATACGGTGTGCATACATATGCTTACTTCTTCCTATAAGGAACCTAGCAATATTTCAAAAGACCCGATTAATTAAAACTGCTATACTTACTCGAAACTTTTTTCCGATCCCGGTCTTTATTATACTTCCGGAA